AAAGCTCTCACCCCCTACCACCTCTGTTTGGGAACCTGGGGCCCTTCTTGCTGCTGCTTGGTGGTTGTCACTGGGCTGGTTGTGGGTGTTGGGGGTGTGTGGCCAAGGCCCTCAGCCCCCCATTGCTCTGGCTCAGGAGAGCCTGGGGTGCTTCCTGTAGCAGCTTGGTGGTTGTCTCTGGGCTGGTTGTGGGTGTCAGGGGGGCATGGCTGAGGCCCTTGGCCCCCCCTACCTCCCCAGCTTGGGAGAGACCAGGGCGCTTCCTGCTGCAGCTTGATGGTCGTTGTTGGGGTGGTTGTGCATGTCGGGGGTGTGGCCAATGCCCTCGGTCCCCGCACTCAGGACTGGTTGTAGGTGTAGGGGGGCATGGCTGAGGCCTTCGGCCCTCCCCTCTTTCTGGCTTCGTAGCTCAGGAGAGTTCTGGTCCTTCTAGGTGTTAACAGGTGTTCTTTGGTGAATGAGACCTTTACTAGTTAATATCAAACTTTGTCTCTGTTTGTGAGTACTTTGTTTTTTCTTTTACTTCTGTGGTGGATTATTTGCTGTTCCTACCCCTTCAACTCTGTGCTGGATCTAATTTGTTGTCCTTTGCTTACTTCTAAAATGGGAGAACTTCCTGTGTGGACCAGCACTTGAGCTCTGTGGGTGAGCTAAATTGCTGCTTTGCTCCTGGTTCCCTGGGGAAGGCTATTTGTGCAGCTCAGGTTTTAATGGTTGACAATAGGTACTTCTGGGTCTAGTGAGATCTGGGGTACCTGGGTTGGGTGGAAACTCTGGTCTGGGCCTGAGTCTTTTCATCAAACTGCATCCCATTCAATTCTATATTCCTGAACAGTCTCTTCTGAGTGGTCCTATGTTGATTGGGGGGCAGATCAGCTGTCCTTGCTGTGCCCGTGTTCCCCTGGTGGGCCTGTCATCCCCATTGCCCATGCTCCAAACACTTCCCATGGGATGGGCCATGCTCTGGTCTCTTGTGATGACTCACTGTCCTCTGAGTGTCTCCTTTTCTTCACTTGTGGCTCCTCACTCCTTTGTGGGTCCATGGGAACCCTATTAGTGTGGTCTTGCTGTCCTGGGGGCCACCAAGGCCCTCTTCTCCCCTGCTGCCTCCAAGCAACTTCATCCAAAGGGTACAGCTGCAGCTTTTGCCAGCACCTGCTCTATATGCTCAGCAGCTCCAGCCTGGAAGCAGCCAGTATTCAAAACTGTTGGAGCAGCTTTTTCTTTCTCTCATTGTGGCTTCTCCTGCCTTCATGCACTCCGTAGGTCTCTCCTCCTCTTCCCCTGAGCTCTAGCGGCCCCAGCTTGACTGTTGTTGCTTTTTATAGTTGTAAATTGGTTGATTTGTGCGGGAGCGTGATGCTGGGGACTGTGTATTCCACCATCTTGACCAGAAGTAAAGGGTACTCCTAATCAAAATTTTTTCCTTCTCTTTTCTTTGGGTGCCTGGCTGATACAGGGATCAAATCCTGGACCTTGGTGTTATCAGCACCATGCTCTAACCAACTGAGAGCTAACCAGCCAGCTCCTAAAATTTTTAAAATTTAAATATACTGTGTATATAGAAAAGTATCCATATCATAAATGTTCTGCTCAGTAAGTTTCCCATACTTGTGTATTCAGCACCCATATCAAGTGACAGAACATTATCAGCATTCCAGAAACCCCCCTAATGCTCCTTTCTCCAAGGTTTATATCCCATATCCTACAGGATACCAGCATACTGAGTTTTTACAATGTAGTTTTACCTGCTTTTTGTACACTATAAAAATAGAAGCATGAAGTTTGTATTTTTTGTATCTGGCTTCTGTAGCTATGTTCATCCAAATCGTTGCATGTAGCTGTAGCTTTTTGATTCTGATTACAGCTTACTCTAGTTTTCATTTTGTGAGCATGCCAGACTTTATTAATTCATTCTTTTTTATTTTTAAAAAATTTATTAATTATTATATTTTTTTACAATGTAAGATGTTGAGCAGTTGGGGGAGGGGGAGAGGGAATAGGGAAGGGGGGGGATAGGGTAGGAGGAGGAAGAAGGGGAGGTGTGGTCAAGGCCCATGACACACCCCTATTTCATCAGGAGAGCCCAGGGGGCTTCAAGGGGGCAACTCTGTGGTTGTTGCTGGGCTGGATGTGGACATGGGGGGGCTGGGTAGGGGGGTTGGGGTATGGCTGAGGTCTTGGGAGCCTGGGGCACTTCCAGGGTAGCTTATTCATTCTTCTTTTGATGGACTTTTGTATAGTTTTTAGTTTTGGGCTATTACAAATAGTGTGGCTATGAATTTTCTAGGAAATTTCTTCTGATTATATATGCAGGTCTTTTGGGTATATACCTTGGAGTAGAATTTCTGGTCTGTAGTAGATATTGCCAATTTTCCAAATGGTTGTGTCAGTTTATACTCTCAGACCATCAAACAAGTTTAGGCTGGTTCACGTCTTTCACAATACCTTGGTATTTACCATCTTTTTTTGTTTCAGTCATTCTTCTGGGTCTGTGGTGTAAATCACATTTCTACTACTTTGATTGTTGAATAAGTGGGTTTTGAAATTTTGCTTTATTTTATTCCTTCCTCCTAAATATAGCTTTTGTTTGCACATCTTGGTGGTTTAAAAATCTCTTGATATTCTCTTTTATTAAATTATTCATAATTATATATTAGCCAGCATACTGACTTATTTACTCACTAGTAGTTACTGTTCTACTTCATATAATTCACTCAGGTTCCATCGATTTTATTCATGATTATCTCGTCGTAGTGAATTTTGTTGGTATGGACTTTGTTGACAGTTTCAATTCAGTTCCTTATTCAGAGAAGAAAGTTTAGCTTGATTGGTGATAATTTTACTTTCATATCTTTAAATATTATTTCTCTTTGGTAGATTTGTAGACTCGGCTTCTATAACATAGCTTAATTCTGGTTCTTTTCTTTCTCTTACCCTTCCTTCTTTGAACACTCCTTGAAATGTTTATATTTCTCTAGATTGTTTCTTTAGTGATCTTCTCATCTTGCCTGCTTTCCATATTCCCCCCACCCCCCTAGTTTCCAGATCCATGTTTCCAGTTGTTTACTGGATATCATGCATTGAGATTTTTGTAGGTACTTTGAACTTATCTTTCCTATGTCAAATCAGTTCTTCGAATATTTCTTAACTTGGTTAATACAGTCAGTCACCTGTTACTTAGTCTTCTAAGTAGAAGTGCCTGTCTTTCTCATTCTCCCACAACTAATTATCAAAAAAATTCTGTTTTTTTTTTTTTTGGAGCTGGCTGATGCAGGGATCCAGATGACTTTATTTTTTAACACAGGAATCTCCCTCTTGTATCCAGTCAGTCACAAACACTGAGAACTATTTCTCTAAAATAAAGATCCTCTTGTTCCTCCCTCCTATACCTGCCTTAGTGCAGACCATATCATGGTCTGGAATGTTTTTCCAGTTGCTCTTTTTTCTTCTTTTTGGTCCGACAGCCCCTCCCTTCTTTTTATCCTTTATGGTTCCAGTGATTGAAGAATGCAATTACTGGCTGAAACAAAGAATTTAAATGAAAAATTTATTATTCAGAATTTTTATAAATTTTATAATGTACAAATTTTCAAGTTTTAATTTAAACAAACTTACTGATGATGGTTTCATAAGTTTGAAATTATTAAAGCTCAAAATGGCACTAAGAATTTTGGGATACTCTCTCTTTAAAGATTTTGGATAAGTATTGGCATATTGCTTTCTGGAAACATGAAATACTCATTTCCTTATATCTCCACTAACACTGGTTATTTTATTTTTAAAACTGGTTTTTAGCTTGACAAGTGAAAACCAGTACCTTGGTCTTGTTTACTTTGCGTTGTTTTGATTCCTGTTTATGGTTAATAATTTTTAATGTTCTAGTTTATTGTCTTAATTGGTAATCACTTCTAATGCTCGTATAATGGTAATTGTTACTATTTGGAGCACTTTCCTGACTGTCACAAATATTGTGATAAGCATTTTACATATATCATCTGTTTTAGTCCTCTGAACAACCCAATCAGTTGTAGATACTTTTATTATTTTATGGGTGAGGTAACTGATTTTAGAGGGGAAGAGTGACTTGTGCAGTGCCACATAGTGAGAAAACTCAGATTCTGTGATCTTTTATTACACTATTAACTCTCAAATTTATTAGTATAGATGAGGAATATTGGCATATTTGTATTTATAGGGGAATGTATTAAATATATTCTTCTTCTAGATCCCATATAAAGACAACTGCTATTTATCTGGTTCTCTTGAAAGCAAAATGATCAAGTATGGTATTTGAAATGGGTTAGGGGAGAAGAAATAAAGATTTTTAGTTAGTTTGGTTCCGGTTAGAATGTTGGTTATACATATTTAAAGCTGGAAGTGTTCTTAAATATTTCTCAAATATTGTTTCATTGTACAGTGTGGGAAATTTTAATACTTTTTGACCAAATAAGTTCAGACAGCGCTTGTGTTTTCCTTAGCAGAGAAACTTATAAACTTTATTCTAGAACTTCCTAAATTAATTTGTGCACATTTTTATAGTAGACTTATATATATATTGTGGAACAACATCTTGCCGTACATCATTTGAGACAAAAGCTGATGTGGTCCATCCTCTCATTTTGTAAGGGTTAGGAAATGAAGATCCAGTGTGGTTTAAGTGTGTTGCCTAAGATCACACAGCTACTAAATGGGAGAGCCAGAATTAAATCTAATTCTTCCTTTGTATTGTGCTTCCTATGGTTATGTTATATAATATTAATTTTTTAACATGTACTATGTAAAGCAGACTTGGTAGTTTCTTCTGTATTCACATCTAGTTCAGTTATCAATATTATTTGAGAAATACATGTACAGTTCTTAAAATTCTCAGATTTGTGTACATATGAATAGCCTAACAAATAAGCATGAGTACATATTCATAATTGTTTGTATTTAATCATAGAAATGAGATGAATCTTTTTCTGTAATTAATGTGTCACAAATGTTTCATTTATTAGTTTCTGTAGAAAATGTTTCCTGACTGCAATGAGAGAAAGCGGAATACATTGTCCTTTGTGTCGTGGAAATGTGACTAGAAGAGAGAGAGCATGTCCTGAACGGGCCTTAGATCTTGAAAATATCATGAGGAAGTTTTCTGGTAGCTGCAGATGCTGTGCAAAGCAGGTAGAGTGAATATGAAATAACTCTTCTTTGGAAGTCAAGTTTCTACTCTGAAATTCCTGTTTGAATTTTCTTGGTGTGTGCTGTTTTGAAGAGTAAGTAGTTATTTAGGTTGGAAATTGGATGTGAAAAGGTCAAAAAAAAGCTATGGCTATGTCTCTTACTGGTTATAAACTTATTAAAAACCAAAACGGAAAGATAAAAATCTCAGAATTCGCTGTAATTTTTAGTATGGTATTTTTCTAAAAGTAATCGCTCACTGATTATTCATTAAATTAACTAAGTGAGCAAGCTGGCATTTAACTCATTTAAACTCCATTCTGGTACAAATTCAACCCTTAACTAGTTTTTCTGACAGTAACAGCATTATTGAAACTTTATACATAGGCGTGTTAGTAGTTTGGCCAAATGGATTTATATAGTCAAGGAACTTTTCAGCTGCTTGCTTATGTATTTATCTAAGAAATCACAAAAATATTTGGCAGAATGCTTTAGTTTATTTTTAAGGAAACAGGAAAATCGGGTGTTGGCAAATAACTGACATTAATTCTGTCATCTGGATTTTATTCTGTCATTTAGAAAAGGAGTAAAATAGAGGTGGTTAGGCTTTGAGTATGTCCATGTGTCTATGGATTTATCACGTTTTTAACTTATTTTTTGTCTATTAGTAGTATTTTTTCAAGTGTAAAATTATTTAATAGTATTTTTGCAATGAGTTTTTGGTCGAGGGACTCTTCTCCATGGTCTTTGCATCTAAAGGACAGAAATTACCTATTTTTAGCTTCTACTTAAGGATTAAATCATTTTTTTGAAATTCTCGTTTAAATGGAATATTTACTACTTTTAGCTACTTTTATCTTTTTTTCTGTTGCTGACAGTATCTCAAATCTTGTGAGTTGTATTTTAAATTAAAAATCATATTTTAATCCATAATTTACAGATTAAATTCTATCGCATGAGACATCATTACAAATCTTGTAAGAAGTATCAGGATGAATATGGTGTTTCTTCTATCATTCCAAACTTTCAGATCTCTCAAGATTCAGTAGGGAACAGGTAAGTAATAATTAGTTTTAGTAATAGAATTTTTATAATTGAAATGGAAATTGTTTGGGGAAATATATGACAAAGTGTTTTTTGATGTGTATGTGTGTTTCAAGTAGATTGCCAAGTATCAGAACCACAGCATTTACCTTCAAAATTTGTTTGGCACATGTAAGATTGCAACTTCATGATCTGCTTTATACTTAAGCTTGTGTTATTTAAAATCATTCTAAAAGAATCTCCGTTTCGCTGAGTAAAAATTAGACTTGAGGTTTGAAGGCTGGTTTCTCTTACTTATTTTTTAACCGAAATGATTTGAAAATTAGAGAAAATTCCTTTTAGTAATGTATTTGCAAACTGGAATTTTTTTTCTTTGCTCTCTAAGGAATAGACTTAGAGTTGTTTGAAATTTTTATTCTGATAATAAAATATCATGTAAAAATGAGACTTGGTACATTTAAATTCTTAGTTCTATTTGTAGTCTCAATTTTTTTTTTGTCTTTTTTGTGACCGGTAAGGGGAACGCAACCCTTGGCTTGGTGTCGCCCGCACCGCGCTCAGCCAGTGAGCACACCGGCCAGTTTCTCAATTTTTTTTTTGTCTTTTTTGTGACCGGTAAGGGGAACGCAACCCTTGGCTTGGTGTTGCCCGCACCGCGCTCAGCCAGTGAGCACACCGGCCAGTTCTATACAGGATCCGAACCCGCGGCGGGAGCATCGCTGCGCTCCCAGCGCCACACTCTCCCGAGTGCGCCATGGGGCGGCCCTCAATTTTTTTTTAAACAAGGTTTTGGCTTGATTTGTGTCTAGTCTCAGATTTATGTATATTAATCATTCTTACAAAATGTATTTTGCACAGAAGAATGGCCACACATGTAGTTTAAAAAATAGTGATAAAACAAATACCTAGTTACTCACTAACCCAGGTCAACATTTTTCAGAACTGTAGAATCTCCTTGTAAGCCCCTGCCCACTTGAACCCCATGCTCTAGAGATAACCACTGTCCTCTTATTTTGATTATTCATTCCCTTGCTTTTCTTTTATATTATCATCCACGCATATATCCTTAAACAATGCATTGTTTAATTTTGAAAACTCAATAGTAAGTACACATATAGCTATGTTAGGAAAGAGGAAGTATTGCCACTATTATAGAAAGGCTCCCAAGTGACAATATGTTAAGTAGAGTCTCTAAGATTTTATTTTAGTAGCTTTTCATTTCACATGTTGCTAATTTTCAGTAACTTAATCATTGTTAAATTATTCTGTATGCATCATGAGTGCATTAGGCTTCTTTCCTACTACTCAGTTGAAACTGTTCTGGTAAAGGTCTTTAGTTAATTTTTTGATTGCCTAGTCTGCAAATTCTTTTTTTTCTTTTTCTTTTTTTTTTTTTTTGGTGGCTGGCTGGTACGGGGATTCCACCATGTGACCTTGGTGTTATTAGCGCTTTGCTCTCCCAAGTGAGCCACAGGCCAGCTGTGCAAATTCTTTTAGGTTCTCATTTTACTTGACTTCTTACTGTCATTGGATGAAATTTGTTACTCTCATCTTGTGATTTTTTAAAAATCCTCTTGGTTCCTTCATCCCTCTGCTTTCCTTATTATTGTACTTATGTACTATAATTACCTATCTATCTGTTTTTTACCAAATAGATTGTTCTTAAGTGCAGGGGTGGTGTTTGTCTTGTTCAACAGTATATATCCAGCTTTTAGCAAAGTTCCTAGCATGTATGACTCGTTCAATCACTGCTGGTTAAAGGATCATATTTTCTTCTCAGGAGACAGGCTTTCCTCCCTCTTACAACTTAGATCGACTTGGTCATAGACACTATTGATTCCCCATAGCAATATTCCTCATCTGTGCTTTTCTTCTATCCTGTTGTTACTTCCCTAGCTCAAGCCCTCATTATCTCCCACTTGAACTGCTGAAATAGTCTTTTAGTTAGTGGTTCTCTTTTTTTTTCCTTTTTGTCTTTTTTCGTGACCGGCAACGGATCGCAACCCTCAGTGTCGCGCCCGTACCGGACCAGGACTGGCAACGGGATCGCAACCCTCGGCGCCGCGCCCACACCTCGCTCAGCCAGTGAGCGGCCGGTCTGTATGTGGGATCTGAACCCTCGGCGGGAGTGCCGCTGCGCTCCCAAGCGGCGCACTGTAGCAGTGCACCACCGGGCCGGCCCTAGTGGTTCTCTTTTAATCTGTCTTATTTACTATTGTTAAGTTGATATTTCAGAAATGCAATTTTGATCTTTCTCCTTGTACTTGTACCTTCTTCCGTGTACTCTGTTAATGACTTTTCATGGCCCCATAGCAATGTTTCTCATCCTGGGTTCCATTAGCCAGCCAAAGGCTTTGTGAACTCCCCAAATTCAATTTTTTTGTGCATATGCACTTCTTAGGGAAGAGAGTGTCAAGATTCTCAAGGGGTTCCATGATCTAAACCCAACAACTGGCTTATAGACAAAATTCATTATTCCAAAGCCCTTTCTGATCTGGCACATTCATCTTTTTTTTGCGTTTCTTTTTCTTGGCTACCCATCATTGCATCAGATGCCTTAGCCATGTTGGATTATTTGACCTTGGTGTTATCAGCATCATGCTCTAACCAAGTGATCTCACTGGCCAGCCCAGTGTTGGATTATTTGTATCATATCCTTGACATCCTTGAAAAGCAATATAATTTACAAATGAATACTTGTTCCGATCCCCATACTGGCCAGCCACCAAAAAAAAAAAAAAACAGAGCAAAAAAACAATAGCAACCAAAAAACGAAGGCTTGGAGCCAAGCAAGAGTGCTGGGTTCAAATCCCAGCTCTGTCACTTACTTGTATGACTTTGGCAGGAAACTATGCCTCAGTTTTCTCATCTGTTTGTAAAAAGGCAGGGGAGGTGATGATAATATTAGCAGTTTATTGAGTTGGGAGTTAATAAATGAGCTAATCCAATGGTACTTTAAAAAGTTTGTGGAAGGGCCGGCCCGGTGGCGCACTGGAGAGTGCACCACTTGGGAGCGCGGCGGCACTCCCGCCGCGGGGTTGGATCCCATGTGGAGACCGGTTCCGGCTCACTGGCTGAGCGCGGTGCGGGCGCAACACCGAGGGTTGCGATCCCGTTACCGGTCAGTAAAAAAGACAAAAAAGGGGAAGAAAAAAAAAGTTTGTGGAAGGGCCGGCCCAGTGGCGCACTGGAGAGTGCGCCACTCGGGAGCGCGGCGGCACTCCCGCCGCGGGGTTGGATCCCATGTGGAGACCGGTTCCGGCTCACTGGCTGAGCGCGGTGCGGGCGCAACACCGAGGGTTGCGATCCCGTTACCGGTCAGTAAAAAAGACAAAAAAGGGGAAGAAAAAAAAAGTTTGTGGAAGGGCCGGCCCAGTGGCGCACTGGAGAGTGCGCCACTCGGGAGCGCGGCGGCACTCCCGCCGCGGGGTTGGATCCCATGTGGAGACCGGTTCCGGCTCACTGGCTGAGCGCGGTGCGGGCGCAACACCGAGGGTTGCGATCCCGTTACCGGTCAGTAAAAAAGACAAAAAAGGGGAAGAAAAAAAAAGTTTGTGGAAAAATGGAACTAAAGGATAATACGAATCTTTCCATAAACTTTTGGAAATACCCTCATACAGGTAAAGCAAATTGAATAGTACCTTGCTTGGTAAATGTTAGTTGTTTTTTTTTTTTTTTGGCGGCTGGCTGATATAGGGATGTGAACCTGAAACCTTGGTATAACCAGCAGTACGCTCTCCCAAGTGGGCCAGCCTGCCAGTCCAGTAAATTCTTATTCATCATCACTCCCTCACTATACTTTTACCAATAATCCTTTTTTCTCACCACCCCAAACCTACAGTTGGTGGACCTTTTTTTCTCTTTAAAGACACAGGCCCAGTGTTAGCTACTCTGTGAAATCTCTCCTGACCTCTAAAATATCTTCCTGTTGGTAGAAGTGTTGTTCTTTGCGCTTCTACTAGACTCTCTAAATTTTATTATGTTTGTTCACTTGTCTATCTCCTTACCTGGAAAGGCTTCTTAGTCTTATTCATTTCTGTATTCTATGCAAAGTTCTAATTGCAGTGGAAGAATTGAATTTGTATATGAATCTTTAGTCAGTAAGGAAATTGGTGAAGGAAGGAAAGGAAGTTTTTTTTTCAAAAATGATAGGAAATATAAGATATTATGCCACAGTATAGTCAGGATCTTGGCAGGAAATAGTGTGCTCTAATTAGGCAATAGGCAATTTGCAAATTTAGTAAAAGGGATTTTCAAAGAATAGTGTATTGGGTACACTATATGACTAGGATATAGGAAGCCACAGGAATAATGATGTACTCTGGGTCTGCTGAAAGTAGAGGAGGGAAGGAAGTAAATAATAGAACCTGGAGAAAGAAAGCTGTACGGAGAGGGAAGGGAAGAGGGATGCAGCCAGTCAAGGCATCTTTGCAGGGAAGATGTCTGAGAAGTAAGTATCTTGACAATTCTCTTTGTTTCTCCCTCCAAATCTCCTGCTAGGCTGAACTCAGGGGAAACAGAGCAAGGGAACCTGTTGATGCAAGTTAGTCTCTCAATGCACTGAGCATGGTAAAAAAAAAAAAAAAAAAGAAAGAAAAAGAAAAATAGAGATATATAGCACATAAGGATTTTAGTAGCCAAAAACATTGTAATACGGTATGTTTCAGAGCTTCCAAGTAGCTGATACGAAGAAAACATCCAATAACAGTTATCAGTGTCTATAATATTGTAAACAAAATAGTTCCTAATGAGAAACACAGCTATTCTTAATGTTAGAAGAAATGATACTGAAAAGTGATTTTGCCCATAGTCCTCAAAAGAAGAAATGAATGCAGTAAAGCAAGTTACATAGCACTATACTTTAAAGACCTTCAGTGTAAGCTATCATAATGCCTTATTACAATTTATATAAGGCTTTTTTCTTCCAGGGGTTTTTTGCTTATTTTCTGGCTTTGCCTAGATGGTGTAGAATGGACAGAAGCTATACCTTCAGACATTTCTTCACAAAGATTATTTCTAGTAGTTAAGCTTTTGATAAACATTTCTGTTTAGAAAATCTAAGGTTCTCTTCTCCAGCAAGTACTGGGGAGCAGATAATATTCTACATTGCTGATTAAGAGCAGGTTCGTGTAGTTAATAGCTGAGCAGGGTTTGGCAGCATCCTGTGAACATCATTACTTTAATAAAGACACTTGTGACCATACCTCTGTAGCAAAGTAGGTCAAGGAGCCACTCAGAGTAGAGCATGTGTTTTCTTAAAGTATGGTTCACAGTATTCCTTCATAAGTAAAAATGGGGAATTTTAAACTCTGAACTTGAATAGAGCATGATTATGGAAATTTTTAAAATGGTATTTGCATGCACCTATCTCAGTAGTAAAAAAAAAATGTAAAATAAATCCATAGATTATTTTGTTAATTCAATATACATTCAAAATTGCTGGGCGTACTGTACATGTTATTGAAGGGATGGGTAAAACAGATATAATCCTTTTTTCTATATATCTGAAAACAGCGTAACTTCCAGCTTGAGAGCTGTATTAGTCCGTTTTTGTTGCTTATAACAAAGTACTTTGAACTGGGTGATTTATAAAGAAAATGAAATTTATTGCTTACAGTTTCTGAGGCTGGGAAGTCCAAAGTCCATCCGGTGATGGTGACAGCAACCCAGGGGTCTCATGTTGCATGATGGTGGAAGCAGAGAGCAGAGAGAGAGAGAGACTCTCCTCTTCCTTGAAAGCCCTCGGAGCCATGTTCCTGACCACCATTTTTAATCCATTCACTACTGCATGGTCCTACAATCCAATCACTTCTTCAAGGCTCCACCTTTCGATCACCATAATAGGATTTCCCACCCTCTTAACAGTCACAGTTGGGGCCAAGTTTCTAATACATAAAACTTGGGAAGACACAATTCAAGCTTCAGGGAGCTTTGGGGGGACATAATTCAGCCCACTACAAGAGCCATCCAAAATTAATGTAGCAATATATTAGAGTAGGACTAATTTACCATAAACTAGTAAATGTTGAATGATGTTTAGCAAAATTATTGCATTGGTGTGGGGTAGTATCTCATAATAATTAGATAGCAGTGCTAGTTGAATGCCATTTCTAGTTCATAACCATAAAATTCTGCTGCTAACATAAGACTGTGTATCTTTCTGTTTTCTTTTAGTCACTGGAAGTGGAGAGGAAGTAAGAGGGAAAATGCATGTATTCATTAAGATATCAGAACATATTTCTATTTTATCCTCCTTGGAAATTATTTGGTCTATTTACAGGCTATTCCTACTAACCCTGACTATTTGTAAACATTGTAACTGGGTATCAGTGGGCTCATACAGTTTAGTTCAAATACAGCTCTTCAAAAGGCTGAAAAAATGAAAATTGCAAGCAGTCTTTTGTTGTTCCTAATAGATTTCTCTCCAAGTTGTTTAAACATTTTAAGTGGCTACATAAATATTAAGGAATCTGATACGTGTTAAAATGTCCTTTTTCTTATTTATAGGCATTCTTTATATATTCTGGATGTTAATCTTTTGTTGCTTGTATTGCAAATATCTTTGCTCAGTCTTTGGCTAGTCTTATTTCAATGTCTTTAGACATACAAAAGTATATATTATATGTGGGTACTTCAAAAAGTTTGTGGAAAAATAAAATTGAAAGATAATACAAATCTTTTCATGAACTTTTTGAGTAGGAATACTATGAATACTAATCTGTGTCCAGCAACTTTGGTGACTTATTAGTTGTAATAGTTCTAATAATCTACCTGTAGATTCTTTTAGATTTATTATGTGGAAAATTATTTTTCCATAGTTTTTTTTTCCTTTTTAATTTAATGCTTTCTATTATATTTGGTTTATTGCATTAAATAGGATCTCTATCCAGTGTTAAATGGCAGGTACTTTTTTCTTGTTCCTGATTTTACTGGGAATGTGTGTAAAATTTTACTATTAAGTATGATGTGTACTATAGATTTTTAGCATACTGTTTATTAGAGTTTTAAAATAAGTTTTAAAAAATTGTATGTAGATTTATATGTCTATCTGTTCTATGATGATGTCACCCTGAATTTAAGATTTTTCCTATGAAATGGTTCTGCTCAAATCAGGAAAATATATATATGGCTTGATTCTCAGATATTCTGGTATCTAGAGTCTAGGCATTTGTGTTTTAAAAAAGCATTATGCATGATCAGAAATTTTGTTTTCCATTATGGAAGCTGAAGTTTATTGAATGGTTTTTCTTCATCAGATAAAATGATCATATTTATATTTTTTAATTTGATAAAATGGTGTCAAGTAATAGATTTTCTACTATTGGATCCATTCATGTATTTCTGGGGTAAATGCAAAATGTAAATAGTAGCTTGGGCATGATACAAGGCTGACTAGAAAGGACTAGAATGATGATAATGAGAGTTGTAATAGGAGATTGAAGGGAGAAAGCATTTAAAAAGGGTATTAACTTTGATATTAAAATATTCAGAAGTTTTGTGATTGCATTACCCCATCAGTAAAAGAATTGAGCACATACTCCCAGGATTTATGTGTTGATTTAAAAACTATGCATGTATTTTATAGTACTGATACTTTATGTACATTATAAAACATGTAAAATTTAAGTCAGTGAGATAAAGATGAAAAGGTACTTTTAAAGTGAGTTTTGCTTTATTTAATTTAAAGTGTAAAATATTTTTATTCCTAAAAATTTATTAATTTTTTTTACTGGGAAAAAATATTCACTATGGTTTAAAATTTCTTATATCTTTATTTTTTGGCCGCTGGCTGGTAGATCTGAACCCTTGACTTTGGTGCTAAAAAAAATTTTTTTTTAAGTCTTGGTTTAACACTGTTTACACAGTAATTAAAAGATTTGGATCTGAGTTCACTTTATTTTGATACTTGGTTTTGATGACTGTTATGGCTGTAAAAGATACCTGCCTCACAAAAAAAAGAAGTATGCCTATAAATTGAGATTACTACATTTTTCAGTCCCATTCACTAAATATCAAAAGGGCTTTTGTTGATATTTTTATCTTCTCTGATGATGTTATAGTTCTTACAAACCAGTCAGAACTTGTTACATTATTTTTAAAGGGCAGATTCAAAAACCCAATGGTTGTATTTATTTGAAAGATTTTTAAAATCTACCAAGTTTAAATGTATAGATATGAGTTTTTAAAAAAATAGGTGACATACTGATTTTGGTAACAAAATCACCTGACATATCTTTAGTGATCACGTTCTCTATAGTTTGGTTATTTTAAAAAGCAGTTTTTTAGTCTCCATGTTGTTAAAATACCAACTTTACCCGAACAGACAGATTAGTAGCTCCTAGAGAAGTGCAAAATAGTGGTTTAATAGTCTATTTGGGTATGTATCTAAACAGCGAAGTTTGCTTGCTTGCCCATGCACAGGCTATGGGTTACTTGTGGAGAGAGAACATTGTTATCTTCACAGAAGGGAACTGTCAATGGAAGGGTGCTTTTTCACTACGTACACACTATTGTATGTAGCTTTATTATGAAAATAAGCAAAAATATTGAAAATACTATCTGCTAGGTAGATGACATTCTACTGCTTGTCTTTTTATAAAAGAAAAATGAATAACCAGTTTTTTTTTAAGTTCAACAACTTTTTATTTTTATTTTTTTGTTGTTGGCTGGTTAGTGTGGGGATCTGAACCCTGGACCTTGGTATTATAACACTGCACTCTAACCAAATGAGCTAACTGGCCAGCCCTCAGCAACTTCTTTTTTTTTTTTTTTTTCCCTTTTTTTGTCTTTTTTCGTGACCGGTAATGGGATCGCAACTCTTGGTGTTGCGCCCGTACCGCGACCGGCAACGGAATCGCAACCGGCAACGGGATCGCAACCCTCGGTGTCGCGCCCACACCGCGCTCAACCAGTGAGCAGACCGGTCTCTATATGGGATCCGAACCCTTGGCGGGAGCGCCGCTGCATTCCCAAGCGCCGCACTCTACCAAGTGCGCCACTGGGCCGGCCCACCTCAACAACTTCTTAAACTTCAGCATTGAGACATAGAACAAACCTCTGGCAAAATTTTCTTGGCCACTACCTATCTCATTACTATTTTAAGATTTCTACTATTGAAGGACCTTGTTTTTATAAAATTGGCCACATTGATAAAATTCTGTAGCACACAATTGATAGTCTCTGTATGGAATCCCAACTCTTCCCTCAATTCCTCTAATATTCTCTATGACACATGACTCTGGCATAGGGTACAAGATTTCAAGTTGTTCTGTATACCAAATGTTAGTGAAGCCTAGTTTCTTTTCCTTTTTGGGGGTAAAATGTAAACATCAACCTTTAAATATTTTCTTAAACCTCCACTTTGGAGGCTACAACCTTAACCCATATCCTAGTTACAAGTCAAAGGTTCACAAATTCTTGAGTGTATTAAAAACTTAATAGTCTAGGTAGAGGTGGAGATACAGGATTTAAGATAATTCTATGAAATTCTACGTTTTTTATTCTAAACTTTTGTAATTGTGCATAAATTAATCTTAAAGGACATGAATAAGAACCTAATAAGCAGTCTTATCTTAATTTATTTGAAAAGTAATTAATGCCATAATTATTTCATAGTTCAGAACTATTTTGAAGTTTAGACTTAAAACACATTCATACTAGTCTTCTTTATTAACAGTTCAGGTTAATGTACCTTTAATGTGCTTTCTTACTTGGGGTATTAACTTTTTCCTCCCTGTGCTTCTTAAGTAATAGGAGTGAAACATCCACATCTGATAACACAGAAACTTATCAAGAAAATACCAGGTAAGCTTTTGAAAAATTCTACTTATAGTAAATAATATCACTTTATCAAATAATAATATAGTTTTAATTTAAACTTTTTTTATTCAGTTAAATCACCAGACATAGTGTGTAGTTAGCAGTTCAGAAATAAATGATGTAGTTAACTGCTTTTAAGAATCATATTAGAAGAGTTTAGTTATTCTCTTTCACTGTGGTCAGGTTTCTTCCATGCATGATTCAGGCAATTGTTTTTTTTTTTTTTTTGTCTTTTTGTCTTTTTCCATGTCCGGCAATGGATCGCAACCCTCAGTGTTGCCCCCGTACCGGACCGGGGACTGGCAACGGGATCGCAACCCTCGGTGTTGCTCCCGCGCCTCGCTCAGCCAGTGAGCGGGAACCGGTCTGTATGTGGGATCCGAACCCTCGGGCGGGAGCGCCGCCGCGCTTCCCAAGCGGCGCACTATCCAGTGCGCCACCGGGCCGGCCCCATGATTCAGGCAATTGTTAATGTCAGTTGTCTGTTGCTGAAATTCAGAGGTATTACAACCCAGTAATGTGTGATTCTCAAAATGTTTTGAAGTGCTTTATACTGGTGGTCAGTTTTCTTTTTTTTCCTGTAAATTTTGTATGTTAGATTCCTGGGGCCTGGGATAGATTAAAGATACGATATTGATGGAAGCCTTTTGAAAGTTTTAAGTTCCCAGATACAGGGTTTTCAAATGATGGGTCACCATAGGATATTTAAATTTTTCAAGGGACACACAATGACAGCTGTTGGCATCATACGAACTACTCTAAAGTTTGGACCTAACTGCTTAATAAATGGAATGGCTAGGTTTTTGTTTTTGTTCTGGCCAAGAGACACCATGAAAAAATTAATTGAGACACTAAGAGTACTATAAACTGAGATTATTTGGGAACTTCTGTTCTAGGTCATTTGTTGAAAATGTATTTTCAAAACGAGAGAAGCTTTGAATAATCAAATAATTATAAGTCTTTTATTAAAGACATAGTGATTGATCAAAAAGTAGGAGAACATCATTTTTATGTTATGATATTGAATTAAGTATGCTTTATTTAAAATTGTTTTATAGTTCTTCTGGGCATCCCACCTTTAAGTGTCCCTTGTGTCAAGAATCAAATTTTACTAGACAGCGTTTACTGGATCACTGTAACAGTAATCACCTATTTCAGGTAGTTCCTGTGGTAAGTACATGTGTTTAAGGCAGTCTTCTGCTTAGATTAAGGCATGCTGTTCCATTTATTTCACTTCATGTATATATGGGAAGGTCATTGATTTAAATTTGGATAGGGCATTATCAGTAAGGTAGATTTTTGCCAAAAAATGACTGATGACTGTGAACCAAGATGAGATATTTAAAATTCTAATAACTCACATTATGAAAACAGAGGTGCTTGTTGTGAGGTAATGCAGGAGAATGGTTTGGAGAAGAGTGAAGTAATGAAAGATGAACTGGAAACTCATTACTGAGCAATACGTAATTCTTTTGGGGCCTCAGTTTCTTGATCTATAGGATTCAGACAACTGGACTGGTCAGATGGATCTGCTGCAGGTGAAAAATAGTAAGAATAATATCAGTAGGTATTTTTATTTATCCTTGCATAAAGGAGATGAATCATACTTTTTTTTGATGCATACATATCTTTTTCTTTCCTTTGATGGCTGGCTGGTATGGGCATCTGAACCCTTGATGTTGGTTTTATCAGCACCACGCACATATTTTTTTGATTGTTTAAGAAAAAGTGGTGAGACCTTTTTGATGAATGAGAGAGGTAGAGCAGAGTGCAGGGTTTCAACATTGTGATTATGGCTCTAGAACTCCTCATTTCAAACATGAATTTCACAGATAAGTGATTTAACTGAGGTTATTTGGGAACCTTTGTTCCTAGATCATTAAATCTAGATGGAACCGGAGAAACTGAGCTCAGAGAGATACTTCCCTTTCAGTTTAGCGTTTTTAGTTTTTTGTTTTTGTTTTTTTTCAAGTGGCCAGTATAGCTGAACATTTCAATATATAAATACTGTCTTCAGAAATAAGAATGGAAGGAAGATTTTATTAGTAATTATAGATAGTTCTAAGCTGTTTTAGTGGACATACTAAAAAATTGTGGAAAAAATATGCCCCAGCAACTCTTGAGGATGCCCTTAAACTCTTGCATACCAACTACGGAGACATACCATCTACTTTGCTTATTACAAGCAAAGTTACTGTAAATAAACAAATACAGTGCCAAAGTCTCCAGGAAATCTCTCTCATATTTAAGAGATTTCACTTAGTTTTATATTGGATTCCAGATTTTTTTTTTTCTCATGGCTGGCCAGTACAAGGATTGAACCCTGGACCTTGGTGGATTACCAGATTTTTATTCATTTCTGCATAATGTTCAGTATATCATAAAGTTTAGCTATAGTACAATTACTGAAGTTCCTTTTTACATCATTGCAATATGTCATTCATTTAGTTTTTAAGAGGTACTTCATTTAAAACTTTAAGGATACAATTTAAAGTGAATTTTACAATTTATTTTTACTTTTTTTTTTTTGTCTTTTTTTCGTGACCTGTAACGGGATCGCAACCCTCAGTGTCGTGCCCGCACCGCGCTCAACCAGTGAGCGGACTGGTCTCTATATGGGATCCAAACCCTCGGCGGGAAGCGCCTCCATGCTCCCAAGCGCTGCACTCTACCGAGTGCGCCACCGGGCCGGCCCTATTTTTACTTATTAATGATGCTAATAATTATATCACTATTATTGTGTAGATCAAGTGAGATTATATACTGGGTACGTTGTAGGCAGTTTGTGATAACTATCATTGTAATTGGTATTATTAAAAGCTGGATGTGGTATTTCTGTTGAAACAGTGGTTGTAATTGGAGATTTAAATAATAGAATGCCTAAGATCACTCTTATTACATTATGTTAGATTAGTGTCATTTATCTAAAGTTTGATTGTGAAATAATCTAGTCATGGAACTTCGCTTTTAGAAATGCTTTCATGTAGATGTTTTTGGTAACATAAGCTTGTGTTAACAGTCTCAATAATTATATAACGTTTGATTATTTTTATTATTTTTTATTTAAAACAATCTGTTTCTTATAGACATGTCCTATTTGTGTGTCTCTTCCTTGGGGAGATCCTAGCCAGATTACTAGAAATTTTGTTAGTCATCTAAATCAAAGACATCAATTTGATTATGGAGAATTTGTGGTAAGTGAATTCTTCAAGATTTAGATAGTACTATTTAAATATTCAAGTTAACTTTTTCAATCTAGACTTGAGTTTTGAGGCAAGAGATTGTATCATACTGGATGGGTATATAGAGCATGTTATTTAATTTTTAATAACAATATTGGTGAACTTTAGTTTGTAGAATAGTAAAAGTTGAATTTATTGTTCACCTCCTATAGTAGAGAGAGAATTAATAGAGGAAGAGCAAACCCTCAGATGAAAAAAATGACTTATGTGAAAACTGTATAGATTTAAGGAAAAATTGTATCTGCAATAGAAATAAAATTGGTTAAACATAATGAAGGAAGATGGATTTCTCATGTAGTATAAGTTGCCTATTCAATCCACTGTAGTAGATTTCTCACATCTAGCATGTGACACCCATTCTTTATAAAAGCAAGGGAGCTTAATTATCAGGTAAGACCAGGTTGACTATTACACAGAGTAAGTGAGGGAAGTTACATAATGTAAAATGGATTCCCAAAGCAAAATGTGGTGTTCATTTCTACTTTCCAAATGTGTTATAATTTTTCACATAGGTAATAACTTCTATTAATTGTGAAATTGCAGTGTTTTCAACTTCTGTAATTCAAACCTTGCTTAATTCAAAATTATTCCTGATAAAGAATAGCTGGTATTTGTTTTCCAGCTTAGGTAAGCACAGGCATGTGAGATTCTCACCATGACATGAACAAAATTTATGTTTTTCTCTGCCCACCGGTGTTGAAATTACATCATTCTTGATAATTTTTTTTTAAAAAAAGTTTTGTGGAATTTGCATTTTTTAGCCTAATATTTCAAAATAACAGTTCAAATTATTTAAAATTCAGGTCTGCTCTTTAGCAATTTTGCGAGGCAATTGTAGATTATTATTCTATTGTTATTGTAAGAAAAGTTACTGTGTCAGGAGAACTGTGTTTGGGAAAACGAAAATATTTTTGTGAACCACTTTTGGTCTAATTGTCAGATTGTTTTACCTTGCCATAGAAAAATATGTAATTTTAATGATTTGAGATTGCCAAGTGGAATCCTTGATAAGTTTTAAAGCAGATGCATAGGACATTTTTTTTTTAAAGTTTGAAGAGTAATTTATAACTAATATTGAGTGGACCTATAATTTTTAGCTTCATATTATGGTTAAGAAGCTATCATTTAACTCTAAATTCAATAAATTTTGATTTTCTTTAAAATCAGCTTGCCTTCAGATATTTCGCATTCTTTTCTAGTGATGACACAAAATTTGTCACTTACACTTTTGTGTTTCAATTAACTATTTTTGATTAATGACTTGTCATAAGACTGTTACTCTCAAATTTTATTCTATGCTGGTCCTCTCTATTGTTTATTAGTTATTCTTAAATAATTACAACTGAACTTAATTTTTTATTAAAGTTCGGGTGTTTAAATCTTGTATTTAAAGGATGCTATATGTTGTACGTAAACTGTCCTGAATATGGGTAATGTGTATCAAGATGTGTAATGTATTGGGCAAAGTGTTGAGTAGCCGAGTATGTTTTTCCTGATGATATGTTAATGTTATTATTTTTAGAATCTTCAGCTAGATGAGGAAACCCAATATCAAACTGCTGTTGAAGAATCTTTTCAAGTAAACATCTGAAGGCTGTAGACATCTCCACATCTTTGTACCTGCAAGTGCCATCTTTAAGGGGAAAACTACATGAAGTCACCATTTCAATAACTTGATGTGTATATTAATAAAAGTAATTCAGTCTGTTTCAGTTTTTTAATTGAAAAATAAAAGTGGGCCATCTAAAAACTTCATCCTCTTGATAAGTTAAATGAAAGTTATGACATCAGCTTTAAAAGCATAAAAAGGGTTTTATATTTCACTACTGTAATGGTGAAAAGGGAATCCTTATTGTACTTTATCTTTTTTAAATTATACATATTCTTGAATTTGTTATGTTACTTTTGAGATTTGGTGCATTTCCTCCCATTTACTTTGTTGTACACAGGTAGCACACATTAGCAAATTCTGAAAGATGTGATTGATATAAACCTAACAAATCTGAGCCAGTTACCAGAAATGTAAAATGGAAACTTGAAGTGCTAAATGGAACAATCCAAAGGAAATTTTTAAAATTCAGATTCTAGCTGAAGAATTCAACTATAAGAAAATAGTATTTATATAACATTTAGTATTTTTGAATACTAGTGAGATTTCTTTAATAATTTTAACTCTTTAAAAAGTGAAAGCTCATTGTAAAGATATTTTCTTTTTGCTATTAGAAGAAAATATCAAGAGACAAATTTATTTCTTTTGTGGGCATTTAGTAATTTCTATCTTGTTTGTTTGACTAATTTGTAAGCCTGAAATATATTAAGCTGGATAACAGCTCTTTGGCCTCAGAATTTTCAATAGCCAGTATTTCTAATTAGCTAAGATGAAACTTTTATTGGAAACTTTCAGTTGGTGATATATTCTACAGATGTGTTTCAGTGAGAGATTTGTCTTCATCTCAGTTTAGAAATTCATTTAAAGGTAAAGATGTATATGTATGTATACATACACTTTTGTGTGTGTATGTGTATTCATGCTGTTTGCCAGTTTATATACATAATTTCTACTAAGGATTTTAAAAATGGACTAGCAATAGGGAATTGAAGTGTTTATCTGATTTGATTAAAATTTTGTATATCACCAAATTTTTAAAAAGTGACAGTCATGTACTAAGTGGTCTAGTTGGCTGCTATTACACCTTAAGAATTGAGTTTACACACACAATTACCTGTTTATATGGTGCTCATTTGTTCTCAAAGATAATGCATGACTATGATGTAATGAGACAGATTCTACCAGCCACTCTGTTTCACTACTTTTTGGTTAAAATTGGGTTTGTTCTTAGTGTTCACTATGAGAATTTGTAGGAGGCCCAAATCACAGACTAAAGGACGAAGAGTGGATTAGGTTACATTCCATACTAATATGCATTGTTTATGCTTTTCTTTAAAATAACTAAAAGAACATAACATCTCAGAAGTAGTTTGCTGCTAATATATACATATATTGTATACAAAGGTATATTTTGGTTTTGTTAAAACCCTTGTTGACTTTTCTACGTTACATTCCATACTAATATGCATTGTTTATGCTTTTCTTTAAAATAACTAAAAGAACATAAAATCTCAGAAGTAGTTTGCTGCTAATATATACATATATTGTATACAAAGGTATATTTTGGTTTTGTTAAAACCCTTGTTGACTTTTCTACAAGTGAACTTTTTTTTAACTTGATTTAATAAAAATGTTAATTTTGGAAGTGGAGTTTTGTAAAAACCTTTTTCAGTCAAACTTTAATGACTTTATTTATGGATAGTAATAACAATCACAAAAAAAGCCATACATCTTAATGAATATATGCCTTTGTTCTGTCATTCTGAAGAGTGATGTTTACTATGTGCTTGAATATTTTCTCTGCAATTACATGAGTATAATTTTAAGAAAAGCTGTATAAGAACTCTTTTTTAAAAAGAGACTTTTGACCATAGTTTTTTTCCAGTTTAAAGCAATAACTTCAGTAGTTTCAAAGGTTAATATGTCTAATATGTTAAACTATTCTGGGATTTGAGAAGTTCTTTAAAGGAAAATTGTAGCAGAGATCATTTTGATGAAATTGTGTTTTGAAGTTTTGTGGATGAGTTAAGTATCATTAATAGTCTTGTGTGTCTTATAGATAAGCTTTTTCATAAGAAAAAATATTGACTTTATTTGCTTTTATCTGGGAACAACTCAGTATCGAAATGATTGTTTAAAATATCCCCTCCTTTTGTCAGTGGATTGGGGATAGGGATAGGCTTTACAGATTTAATTTAATGGAAATTTAATTCATGGAAAAAAATCCTTATTTTTAATATTGCTTATAGCTGAGTCAGGATAAAGGAGGGAAACTATTGATACTACAATGCCTAAATTTCACAGTACTATTTAGGAAAGCTATTTCTCTCACAAATTACAGTTTATGTTGTTAAATACAAAATCTTGAGATGTATTGCTTTATTTTTCAATTAAAAGTGGTTTTCTCCTACTTGTGTGTCTAATTAAAATTTTATGTCTAGAGGCAAACATGATAACATTTAACTCTGAAAACTCACCCTGAAGGACATGTAGGAGATAACTCATTTTTCACTTAAAAAAGTGTATTAGGAGAAAGCTACCACATGCTGATGCTGTTGGATTTAACTTTATAAACCTTGTTTAGGCTTCAGTGCTAGGAACAAGATGAGCTCTCCTGATGAAGTAGTTCTTTTAATTAAGATAACGATACTACAGAACTTTTCAATATCCATTTTGCCTTTTCAGAAGCTCAGAGACAAGTGCTGTACTTGACTCTAGTAGAGAGATTCAGCCTAGGATTTTCAATTCAACTTTCTCTTCCCTCACTTTATTATTTGGATCTTTTTTTATTTTTAACTTGCTCTGGAGATTTATTACATAGTGCCTTTTATTGCAAAAGGACACAAAACTTTTTTGAGCATAAGTAGGATCTAAGTAATAAATAATGAATGAGAGGCTGTCATTACTTTGTCCAGGGGGATTATCCTTCAATATAGACCTTTGTGACCTTAGCTACCTTTTAATGCCACCTCAGATTACAGTGATTTCCCACGCTCCCCCCCCAGGTTCCTTCATTAATGATTCCTGCCCTGAGATCCTATATTTGTTATATTGGACTCCAGAAATACGTCAGTTTTTAAAGAAAAGTTATTTCTTTAGTTGGCGGTTCAATTCTTTCTCTTTGAAAGAATTAAAATTAAATAAAAATCACTTTAATTAGGTATCTTCATTAGGATTCTTTTACTTGAAAGTGACAGAAGCCCAAATCAGTCTCATTTTATTTTATTTTATCTTTTTTTTTTTCCTTTTTGTCTTTTTTACTGACCGGTAACGGGATCGCAACCCTCGGTGTTGCGCCCGTACCGCGCTCAGCCAGTGAGCGGGAACCGGTCTCCACATGGGATCCAAACCCTCGGCGGGAGCGCTGCCGCACTCCCAAGCGGCGCACTCTCCAGTGCGCCACTGGGCTGGCCCTAAAGCTATTTTATGAAGTGTCCATGCAGCAAGATTTTCAAGACTTTGTTAGCAGCTGGGCAGAAAGCTTGTTAATACTTAAATTTTAGTATTAAACTGTTATTAAATTTAATACTAAAAGTATTAAACTGTTAAAGTTTTAAACTGGTTAATACTTTTATATTAAAGAAGATATCAGAGCTATAAGAATGTATTGCCAAATGCAATGGCATATACCTATTAAGCTACTTGGTAAGTATTACGACCTTCAGTGAATCCTAACTTCTATAGAAACCTCTTAAGGCTGCTACTCAAATAATCTTTCGTGGAAGAGCTGACATTTTAGCATATGTAGAAAAGGTGTGACCCAGAGCATATGTAAGTACACATAGTATAAAACTCAGAAATATAACACTTATTCCATGATGCCACTTAGTGTACAATATAATTATCTACTTCTGCAGTACAATTTTTAATCAGATGTGGAATGTAGGTGAGTTATATTAAGAGATTAAAGATTATAAGAACCTCAGGAAAATAGGTATTGCAGCCCTCATGGACCCCACTCCAATAGCAGTTGTCCAGTCCTGGGACAACTTTGCTCTCCTTTTCACTCCCCAAAAGAGGAAGATAATGGTTGTATTGCATTGTGTACTTGGTTGACAAACTTTGATTAAACTGTAATGTGTGTAACAGGAATTCTTAAGAGTGCAATAGTGGAAGACAGACTTGTAGGTGAGTGAATATGGCTGACACTGATCAGGTGAGTTAAAGTCATTCAGTGGAGGATGAGAAGAAGAAAATACACAGGATGTGAGGGAGGACATTTTTTTTTTCCATTGTACAGTTTGTCTCAATACATGCATATATTGCATAATGATCTAATCAGAATACTTAGTATATTTGTCACCTAAACGTTTATCATTTCTTTGGCTATAGCATTCAGTGTCCTATCTTGAAACACAATATTATTAGCTACTGTCACCCTTGAGCACCAGAACTTCCTGTCTAACTCTAACTTTGTACTTGTCTGTCAACCTTTTCCTGGCCCCTTTCTCTCCTCCCCTTCCCTTCCCCCTTTCCCTGCCTCTTTGTCTGCTTTTATACTTCGTATAAATAGAAGCACACAGTAAGTATTGTTTTATATCCAATGCTCAAAATTGGAGATGTTCCTGTAAGTTTTTTTTTTGTAGTTTACAGGTACCTGCAGTAATTTGTCTTTTGTCTACAGCAGAAAAGCTTAAGTCTTCTAAATTACATTTTAATATTTGTGAAAGTTGTATTAGATGTATTGCAAGTGATTTTTTCATGTTTATTGGTACCTGAGGATGCCAAATGCAGATAAAAAATGAAAACTGGCTGGTCTTCTAATAAGAGGTGAAGAGTGACCAAATGGACTTCCACTGCTCTTACCCGACCTTTTCCATAAGCTGTGTACCGGATGTTTTCAAGGCATTTTGTGGGTATGGGATTTTAATAAGTATGTAAGGACTGTATTTTCTGGGAATAGAGTCTGAAGCTACCAATAGAAACTGACGGGGCTGCAGCAGATAACAGAAGAGAAGGTAGGTAGATCTTTGTTGGAGAATGCAAACATTAAAAAAAAAATCCTAGTTTGGGCCAGACAACTAGTTTTGATGATTCTGCAGGTTGATGTTTATATGCTTTTGGACAAATTTCTCAGCCTCTTACCTCAGTGGTTTGTGAGTGTTGAGTGAGTTAATATGAGAAGTGCTTAGGACAGAGCCCACAATCTTTACTGAGTATTCAGTACATATCTACCAGTTGTGTTTATGTTTGCCAGGTCCTACTTCATTCTCTAAAATTCTGTAAGGGAAGTCTAGAATAATGTTTTTTCTTGCCTTTTAGAATATAGAACCTAGAGGGTTATTAGTCTTTGCTAGCCTCTGAGACTAGATCTGAGACTTTGTCTCCAAGAAGTAAAAATACCCCAGATAATGAGAAATTTTAAATAAAAAATATATCTTTTAGAATAATCTTTATAAAGAAAAGTCGGCTGGTGATCATACTTTTCAATCAAATGTACTTCCAGGATTTATGAGAATTTTACTTAACCCACTTTTATTTTTAATATACTTGGATCTTAGCCAATAATATGAAGAAACCACTGCCTCTAGAAGAAAACTTACTTTGAAATTATTTATGAGAATTTTACTTAACCCACTTTTATTTTTAATATACTTGGATCTTAGCCAATAATTAATATGAAGAAACCACTGCCTCTAGAAGAAAACTTACTTTGAAATATTAGCAAATCACTTTAATAGCTTAGTATCTAGGTTATTTGGTAAACTTAGAGGGTGTAAAATAGTTTTTCTGACCTTTTTGAAAAGTTCATGAGTGTTAAGAAAACTACTTCATACCAACTGAATTGATATACTACACCATAAAAGCATTTTTTATAAAGTAATTTTAGGTTCATTTAGATTCACAGTTCTCAAACTTCGTGGTCTCAGGACTACTCTACGCTTAGAAATTATTGAGAGCCCCAAAGAGGTTTTTTGTTTTGTTTTTGTGTGTGTGTGGTTATTTGTCATATTTGAAATTGAGAAAATGAAAATTATTCAAAATAAACTACATTCTCAATAACATTTTTAATGGTAAATTTGCAAAGCGTTTGCAGATCAAGTATTTGGCTTAATGGAAGACAGATTTTTATATCTGCATCTGAATTCGATATATTGTGGTAGGTTATTTTGGTTGAAGGATACAAAGATAATGTCATGCAGATAATGAAGTTAGAAAAGGGAGGAGTATATTAATAGCCTTGTAAAGTGATAACTGAGTATTCTTTGATACTACACCAAAATAAATGGTAACTTCTTAAAAGTTGCAGTCTGAAACCATAAACTTTTTGTACACTGTTAACAGTAAAACTCATCAGTCTACTTTGCATTTGAATGGCTTTTTTGCCTATGCATGATATTGTTAACATTGTGTCATGGTCAATCAGAAAATGGTGCAGTTATGTGGACCTTTTAAATGTTGACACATTTTTTATATTATAGTAGTCAATATCATTGATCTCATCAGTCCTTAGAAATTAGGAAGCCAAGATGCTCACAGCTTTGCCAAAATTCTGATTTTTGCTTAAAACCTCAAATTTTATCATTGGCAGCAAATAGTTGATTGTTTTCTTGAAGTGACAGGCTAATTTCCTTGAAATAACCATGTCTGAATAAACATGGCTGTTTGTCAGTCACTCTTTTTTTCATGGCATGGCCACTTTTAAAAGTTGAGCTCACAACTCAAAATGATTGCACAAGTATATTAACTTGAGACAACAGTTGCAGCTTATGCAGGACATGTGCTTTGTGTGTACTTGCCGTTTTTGTCATACAGAATTTTAGGAAGACTTGGAATTAAGGGTCACATTTTAATACAATTAAAGATTTTACTTTCATCAAAGGGATTTTTAAGTAAAGATGCTTTTCCCTCCTGACCTAAGTGAATGATGGTGAAAAATATAACTAGTAAATTCGGTGCCACTGCCTTGATTTATGCTGAGGCACTGGCAGCAGTGCAAATGTCAACATAGTAAATAAGGCAGGTGAATGTCTTAGTATTAATGAAAATATTTTTGACCTCACAGATCCTTGGAGATGTTCAGAGACCACCCTCCTTCCCGGGATTCAAGAGCCACACTTAGAGAACTATTGGTGTAGGCTATATTTATAAGTTAATATTGTTTTAAGCAAATCCTTTGCCTTTGTGGGGCAGAGAGGAGAGATAGCTGGCTGGTAAGGGGATCCGAACCCTTGACCTTGGTGTCACCGTCCTCTGATTTCTACTTTCTTAATGGTATCTTTTTTTTTTTTTTCCTTTTTTGTCTTTTTTCGTGTCCGGCAACGGATCGCAACCCTCAGTGTCGCGCCCGTACCGGACCAGGACCGGCAACGGGATCGCAACCCTCGGCATCGCACCCGCACCTCGCTCAGCCAGTGAGCGGGAACCGGTCTGTATGTGGGATCCGAACCCTCGGCGGGAGTGCCACCA